ACCAAGTAGTCTTTTGTCTGGTACCAATGGGCCTCTTATAATTCGAACCTCCTGTATACCTCTTTGTTTCCTCGGCACCAGACATACAGCAGAAACTTAATAAATGTTTATTAAATGAATGATTGCAATAGCCTCTTCTGCCTCCAGTCTTACTTCTTTCCAACCTGATCAGCACACTGCAACCCTCCCAAACATTATTCAGGAAAAAGACCAACTCTTTAGGATGGCTTCTAAAACCTTTCTAATGTGGTCTTGCTCTATTTGCCCTCACACATTTCACTACTTGTGGTTCTCTCAATGTCCTATACTTTCTTGCTGTCAGGATTTCATTTCCTTTACTTGGAATTCTCCATTCCCACCAATGGGAAATCAAACTCTTACTCTTTTTTGGTACATACTACTTATATGTAACATCAGTGTTTGCTCACTACCCTGTGTTACTACTGCTTCTGGTATTATTCCAAGCAGTTTGTATTACAAAAAGTTTTATTTATTAAAAAAATATAATCATGTCAGAGACATGTAGGAAACAGAAAAATGTAGGTATATGTGTATATATTAAAAATATTTCATATCACCATCTTCACAAAGCCATGTTATTATTTTGTTGTATTTTCTTCTAAGATTTTTTTCATATGTACATATTTTTCTGAGTCTAATTGGAGTGAACCAATGATGTAGCCACTTGGACTTTGAAAACAAAACCAATATTATAAGATGGGCTTATTTCTTCTAGTTATGCAATCATCCTAATCTTTTTTTTTTTTTGTGGTGCCAGGGACTGAACCCAGGGCTTCATGCATGCTATGTGTTTTACCACTGAACTACAGCTCCAGCCCCAACTACCATTTTTAATGGTCATATAACACCCTATCAAGTAGATATGTTATAGTATACTACCTAACCATTCCACTATTGTTGAATGTTTAGGTCTTCCTTTTTTGGCTACTATAAGTAAGAGAGTACACATCTTCACGTACACATCATATTTTGGATTGGTTCATTTCCTCAGAATAGATAACAAAGAGCCATCTCAAATTTTGTAGGAAGGCAAAAATATAAATAGAATGTTTCAATTTCTCTATTTGTGATGTTAAATATTTTTTTCTGCTTGTTTGCTATTTGGTTCCTTTTTTGAATTGTCTATTCATATCTTTTATCCATTTATTGGAATACTAGCATTAAACTAGTTAGAACAAACATTTTAACCCTTTGTTGTATGTGTTATACCATTTTTGCCTTTTTATTTCACTAAAATTTTAGCTACGAAAGTAATATAATCTCATTATAGTAATTTTGAAAACTAGAGAAACATTTTTAAAAATCATGAATAATTTTTCCACTGTAAGACAGTCACTATTATCATTTCCACTGTTTTTTCTCATAGGTGTGTGCTTTAGAAACTGGTAATTGCAATGTATATATAATTTTTAAGATCTGCTTTTTAAAAAATTAACACACTCATTAAGTATTTTTCTGATATGCCCTATATCAGTGAACTTATGACATGTGTACCACAATGGGCTGTTTGTATCACTGAAAGCTCTAAAAGGTTTGCCATCACTGCACTATATTCTTCATAATTAGTATTAAAAATAATAGCATAAGGTATGGGGGTATAGCTCAGTGATACGATGTGTGTATGAGGCCCTGGGTTCAACCCTCAGAACCAAAACACACACACACACACACACCCCAAAAGAAACTAATAGCTTAATATCCCATGGAGTAGATTTACCATTCCCTTATTGCTAGACATTCATATTATTTCATTTTCAAAATTTTGTAAGTAACCCTGAATGAAAATAGTTTTTGCCATATTTTGAGTTATGTTCTTAGGAGATCTTCCCAGAAATAGAATTATTAGATCAAAGGACATTAACACATATTAGCTACCAAAATGTTTTAAGAGACTAAGCCAAACCACACTCACTAGCAAACAGAGTACTATTTTTTTTTCAATTTTGTTAAATTCAGGCTTACAAAGAAGCTTACCTATTTAGCATGCATAAGGCCCCGGGTTTGATCCCCAGCACTAGAAAAAATGAGGCTACTTATTTAATTTACATTTCTTTGATTAGTAGTAATGACCATTTGTTTTGATTAGTAGTGATGACTGTTTCCTTTTTTTTTAGTAGTGGTGACCATTTGTTTTCTAGTTACATTAAAGTATTTTGTAAATTGTCTAGTCATGTTCTTTGTATTTATTCTTATATATACTATATGAGTGCATTAAGCAGTACAAACCTGTCACATTTTGTCTTATTTATGTCACATAGGATTTTTCAGTCTATGCTTAGATTTTATTCTTAAAATGGTCAAAAAACTTTTAAAACTTACACTGGTTTTGTGGTTCAGCTGCCTGCCTCACAAGCGCAAGGTCCTGAGTTCGATCCCCAGTACCAAAAAAAAAAAAGTTATACTGGTTTTAAAATTTTATACAGTCAGATTTGATCTTTTCCTTTGAGAACATTTTCTATTAACTATTATTTCCCAAGTTCAGAAAATTATTCCCTGTTAAAAGTTGGAAAGCCATTTATTCTAGTTTTTAAAATTTGCTTTTTTACATTTAACTCTTCAATCCAATTGCTACTTACTTTAGTTTATTACTGGAGATGAATAAATGCTACAAGATGTCACAGTATTATTTAATGAATATCCTTTCTACTCTCATTCACTTGCAATGCATCTTTATAATACATTAAGCTCTTATATATTACCTGTCAAAACTTATACCACCAGCACCAGTGTTTTCATTATTCTAGTTTTGTATGTTTAATATCTAATAGCATTAGTACTTCATTATTCTTTTTTGCAGAATTTTCTTTGAAACATCATTCTTATTTAGCTTTCAAATGTACTTATTTGCTGCCTTATCCATAAGATATTAATTTCTTCAGGATAAGATTGGTTTGTTTCCTCAGAATAGACTGTGAAGAACTTGTTACTGGGTCAACAGTTATGAACATTTTCCCTACTCTTAACACTTTCAATGTTTTCAGAAAGGGTTGAGACAGTTTCATTGTAACCCTGGATATTTTGAAATAAAGATTGTTTTTTTCAAACAGAAAGGAAAAAGGAAGGAAAAAGGAAAAAAATATACCTTGCTTCAGTTTCTATATTCTGCTTATTAGTGATGATAAACATATGCTTGACATATAGTGTTTACTCAATGCTTGTTCAATGAATAAATGGTATGTATAAGTCTATACATATATTTGGGGATAGGAAGGTTTAAACAAATATTGTGATTATAACAGCTAATTGCTCTGTAGGTATAAATTTATGGGCCTGTAGTCCATCTACAGAGAGGTTTTAGAGGTGCCAAAAGCACCCTAGAATTCAGACCTGAATTGAGACAATCTGCAGAAACTCTATAATCTATATTTACTATAGGCATGTGTGTTTCTAGGTAGGACTAGCTGAAAGGATCAGCTGAAGGCTGTTCAAAACAGTAAGATAATGATATGTGGATATACTCATGCCTACAGAGCCCAGATAGCTATGATTGACTCAAATAGAGTGTGCATCCTTTGGCAGCACAACAGCAGTAAGAAGTGACAGGTATGTGAGTACTCTATTAGAAACTGACCCAGGCCCCAGTAGGCCTTCTGCAATGAATTTCAATACATGAGAAACTAGGTCTGACTCTTAGGAGCAAGTACTTGCTATGAGAACACACTACATTTCTTCCCCACTTGCTAAACCCAGGAAGACCCTTTCACTGTGAAGCTTGAAGGAGGGATTGTCATTTTTTTTCATAGAAATTACTCTTTATTTTGAACTTTTAAAAATAAAGCAAAAGCTAACAAAAAAGGGGGGGCTTTTTTCTCTGTTTTTAAGGTCACGTAAAACTCGTTACTAAAACATTCGTTCTCTTTGCTCTACTGCATAAGTAGTAGATTCCAGTAGTGAAATTTTTCAAGGACTTCCTTTGGCATAAAATCTGTCAATCTGATGGAGAGAATACCATTTTATTATCTTAACTGGCATATACTAAAATTGTGCTATGCTTTATTCTGAAAACCAAGTACTGTTTTCTTTTGACACAAGAGCGCCTAAGAATATAAAGGTTACTCTTGATTGCACAAATGATTTGTGAATGATGCATTGGAAGTTACTACCACAGCTGTTTACTTTCATAGAGCATATCAATAAATTCAGTTTAAAAAAAATCTCCCCAATGTGTATTAAGTGCTACTGACACAGCCAACAAGATGTCAAATGCTGAAGGTGGCCTAGAAGTTCATGTCAGAGTATCACTATTTGATAGGCTAACAGGAAATTCCCAAAAGACTTTATCTCTAACCCATGTAGTACCTAAAAGAGATACTTTATAAGCCGTTTCTCCGTACAGAGGCATCTAATTCTCCACTGTCACTTTCCTTGGAGATGGTGACATAAGCCTCCTTCTTTATTCTTTGACCTTTTGTTCTAAACTTATTTTCATCAATTCTCCACCTATTAAAAAAATCTGTTTGCCACTTCTGTCAAGAATTAGCTCTAAAATGCACTTCTCCCAAGACATTCATGATACATTTCTCCCTACTGCTAGGTCTCTTTAGCTCATACATGTATTCCACTGGTACCATAATTGATGATGTCCTCTAATTATTTTACTTTTTAAAATGTTTTTAGAGCATAAGTCCCTTGAAGGACAGGGGAATTTCCAGAAAGCTGAAAAGGAATTTAAGGACTGTCTAGTTATACCTTTTGCCCTGCTTGTTTCACTGATGAAGAAACTGAGGCCTAGGGAAGTTAATCTATCTAAGTCAGTTAGGCAAGTTAGCAGAAAAATTAGGCCAAATGTCCTGACTTTTGATAAGGTGCTTTTTACTAGGTTAGGTCATCTTCTATTTCACTTGCATATTTTCAGAATGCTTTGTAAAATGCTAGATATACACGTCTTGATAAACATCAACATGATAAGCTCAAGAGTTTACATAACTGAGAAACTGACTCAAGGAAAGGGTCAGAAAGAAAAAAGGTTATTTCCTTACTTCTTTGCATGATGCCACCCTCCAGACCAGTTAATTGCTACTTTGCACATCCCGTCGATCAAGCACTGGGCAGCTGTGATTGTAGCACCTCCTACAGCGGCAGCATAGTCAAATATCCCTTCAGTAGCTGGGCAGTCATAGCCTGAGGGCAAAAGTTGGAAGAGATTGTTAAAGGTGAGCTGGAGAAAGAAGAATAGGTTGAGGTGTTACCAAAACATATTCTACTAAAAGGCCATTGTGCTAACATCAGCTCCAACTGGGACAGAAACATTTCTAATATTGAGGAGGGAAGATTTTAAAATTTTAGAGCTAGAAAGGAAACACATTCAAGATGAGCTAGTCATATCCTGCACATGATGAAACCAAAGCCTGAGAGGTAATGTGCCTTTTTTTCCCCCTTTGGACAGAGTCTTGCTATGTAGCTCAGCTGGTTGCAAACTTGCAGTGATCCTTCTGCCTCAGCCTCCCAAATGCTGGGATTACAGGCATGTGCCACCACACCTGGTGAGGTGATGTATCTTGCCAGGGTTCATACAGCCTTCAACGCAGGTCTCTTGACCCCCCCCAGTCCACTGTCCTTATACTAAACTATCTCTTTGGCTACATACAGTTTTAAAAAATACATCTGTTTAAGTTCTGGCTAAGTTTTTCACCCAGAATATAAATAGGTACTAAAGAGCTAAGGTTACAAGACAGCTAAGTCAGCATACATACAACCAGACCACATCTGAGTGCTGCCATTAAGGACTCAGCAACTGAAAAGTTTCTCTTCTACCTGATCCATTATTCAGTTTTTTTCAGTTCATATGATTTACTTGGTCAGTGAGCTCTGTGTGGCAAACCAAGAGATTAAAATAGACAGTTGGGGCTGGAGATGCAGCTCGGTGGTACAGCATTTGCCTAACATATGCAAGGCCCTGGATCTGATCCCCAGCCCTCCCTTAGATTATTTAATTAAAAAGAATTAGAAACTACTATACGAGTTATAAGTAGTATGATCTACGGATGGAGGCTGTAGATCTCCCATCACTGTCTGGTAAGGATCTTACCTAGCCCATATTCTATGGAGTCTGGATGATCATCATCACCTTCCTGGCTCACCTTCTGAAGGTGCTGCAGATAGGCATCAGTATGGAAGGTGGCCATCTCCTCCATGGAGGCCACTTTGGGCTTCACTATCCTAATAATAACAGAAAGAACAAAGAGAGGTGAGTGAGTCAGAGACAGAGTATGCCAGAGTATGCCAGAGGTTGGACACAGGAGCCAACAGTCTGAGCAGAAAATATAACTCCTAGCTTCTGGTTCCAGGGGGAATGAAGTAATAAATACATTCTGTTCCTCTACTGCACTGCACAGCCTTCACTTCCTCGCATCTATGGTAATGACTCAATTAATAAGGGGCAAGAGGATAGATTTTTCTCTTGAGTTTATAAGTAGGTAAAAATAAGTGAATAGTTATATTTAAGTTAAACAAGTAATTAGGAATCAAACACACGTTACTCTGTGAATTACAACTTTCACAACAAACCAATAGGCAGAGATATTTTCAACTGAATCACTTGCTAATTGGGCTTTATAATCCTTTAGGCTAGGTCTTTATTTTATTTTGTTTTTGGTACTGGGGATTGAACCCAAGGCCTGCATGCTAAGCATGAGCTCTACAACTGAGGTATAACCCCAGGCCCTTCTATCGTTATCTTAATAGACATCTGGATTATCATGCATTTTGAATTTGGCTTCAGAAAACTGAGTTCCTATCCTCTGTACTTACTAGCTCTATAAACTCAGGTAAGTTGACTATTCTATCCCTAGGTTTCCTCACTTGTGAAACAGGGAAACTTCTGGGACATACCTGTAGATTAAATGATAATATATTTAAAATTCTTTGTAGATAAACATCATGAATATTAAAGGATAATAAATAGGGAACTCAAAACATAAAATGTTTCTATACTTGGCTTTTCAATATTTACCTCTGAGAGAGGGGCAAAATAGTTGGACCTGGGGTTTACTCAGAACCTCTCAATCTAATCCTCATAGGAAGTGACAAATAAGAATGAATGAGAGAATAAAGGGAGTTAGCCTAACAACAGGTCTTACTGCCTCTAACCTCTAGCTGCCTATTTCCCATTTCCTCTTACTGACCCTACTGCTGCCACATTCGCTAGCCCTTGCCACTGAAAGGGTGGTACATAGACCAGCAGAATCAGAACCTCTAGGAGCTTGTTAGAAATACAGAACTTCAGCTTCACACCAGACCTAGTGAATCAGAATTTGTATTTTAACAGGATGATTTTTAAACAAGATGATACACCTAACAAGGTGACTCATATGCACATTTAAGTTGAAGGAGCACTGATCTAGGCCACAGAGAAGCGGTTGTAGTTTATTGTGTTGGATGGGAGCATGGCCATTAATTTATCACAGATTAATATAACTATATAGGCTGTGACGATAATGTAGGTGGTCGGAAGAAATGCTGTGGTACAGCCTCAGAAATTAAATATATAGCCAAGATCTAAGGATTCTTGCTTCTTCAAGAAAACATGCCTATACCATTGAGGTGAAAAAATTTCCAATCAAAATAAAGTTTTATAATTTCTTGGACTATGTTTTCCAGACATAGTATCTTCCATCTTCCTCTTATGGCGCCATCACATTTTGTGAAATGTTAAAGTTATAAAATACTTACCAAAAGCCTCCTTGCTTAATATAAAGAAAATCAGACAGTTTTGCTTTGCTTTGATATCTTGTTTGCAATAAAATACTTTTTGAAATGTTAACATAACTTTAATGAATGTCATATCACTATGCTTACCAAAAATATGGTTGAAAAATATACCTTAAGAAGGTACATAACATGACTTTGTTACTAATAAGGATTAAATCTGAAAGCCTATTATACTACTTTCTGGGAGATAGAAGCATACTGCACTGGCTGATGTTTCTAGTCATCCATTGGCCAGAAAATGTCATAAGTAATCTTACACATGGCAAGTTCATAACAGCTGCATTTATAATGACACCAAATACAGAACTGGCAATAAACAGCAAACTCAATTTTTTTGAAAGAAGCATTTTACTTTCTTTTGAGTTTCAGCAGTTTGCTTGGGTCTTGACTTGTCCCCAAGTTTACCCATTAAAGGTTGGTAGTGGTGGTAGCATGTTTTAAAGTCTTACATGGAACACACTCCCCACCTGACTGGGGTGGGTGGAATACCAAACAAAACCAGAACACCTCCCAGGTGTACCTCACCTCTATAAAGCACCTAACACGCCCAGCAATAAAGTCTTAGGGTCTTAATCGCTTCATATACTTTTTGCAAGTTTTCTTAATTCTTTAAGAACATTCATGGGATTATAGGCAGGTTACAAACACGGTGAATACTATCACAAAAAGCTTTTTATTTATTTATTTATTTTTAAAAAGTACCATTTTCTCTCTAATTTGCCCCATTGTGAAGTTCATTAAGGCTACAACTACTTAGCTTCAGGGATGACAGGTGTTCAGGAAAGATAACTTACCTCATTTGCTTATGCAGTGCATATGCTTCAATCAAAGAATGTACCATACTGGCCTAAAAATTCAGCATAAAAAAGGCAGAAAATAGTCTTACAACTTTAATTCAGTGCAATCCCATCAACTTGACCATCCTAAACGAAGGAACTGTCTTAACTCTCCTCCCTTCAGTTACTTAAGTTATGATACACTTTAAAGAATACAGTTAAATACACTGTAGACAATACAAAGTATCAAAATCGCTGAGACGGAAGCTACTTGGCCTTACGCAGGTGATGGAATACTTTTCTTCACCAGCTTCTTTTCCACTTCAGCGATTCCCTTGTAGTGGAAACCGCATCCCCTCCGCGCCTTCCCCTCCCCCACCTGTCCGTTGGAGCCGGGCAGAGACGCGCAGCGCTCGGTTTAAGAGGACACTTTCTCCTGGTGCAGTTTTAGGTACCGGACACAAAATTTCTGCTGAAGACTTTCCGCAGCCCAGTCTCCTCTCCTCTTTCTAATGCCCTCTAGTCCACACTTCTGCCTCCTACCCCCAAAGCCCACGGTCTTTCATCTCCAACTCTCTTACCCGTTTGGGGACCTTGGCCAGGGAGTCGCACATGCTGACATACTCAGGACTATAGATGTAAACTGGGGGCAACGAATGCCCACCGTACGCCGGGTCTTCTGGCTCCTCCATCTTCCACTTCGAACCGTTTCGGAGCCACCGTCCGGATCCTGCTTTTTTCGGACTCAGCCCCGGCTCGAGTTCCTGCTCCTCTGATCGACCGCAGCTGTGCTCCCTGGTCAACATTCCCTCTTATTTTTTGAGATCGCCGGAGATACTGTTCCCGCTCCCCATCCAATTGAGGGAATGGATGGGACTTCACAGGTCAGAAGCTCTTCATTTAGGGACCACAATTTTTTAAAAAAGGTCTAGGCAGATATTTAAGCCCAAATAACTGCCAATTAGGATCGATTTTTTTAATGGCACAAATAAGTACGGTCAAAACTAACCATCCTTGTTGCCCTACGGGGCCATTTGAGATGAGGTCAGATCAGCTTGCGAGCATGCTGGGAGATGTAGTTTACAGAGGTTTTGAGCGGCGGAAGAGCCGGGTTTAGTCACAAAAATTGCAGCCAATTTGAGTTGTAGCGCCTAAAAAAACCGCAACTCAGCTCTTTAGGAATTGTTTCAGACTGCAAATATAGCCATTTTAAATGTTTAAAGATAGGTACAATGTGGCCATCTAGAGCCTATTACCCAGCTACATCAGCTGCTAAAGGTGGGTTTTTCTGGGGGAGGGGAGACTACTTAATGGTAGAAATGGTTTGAAAAGTTTGCACAGTAAATCCTGTGAAGCAACTGTAGTTCATTGCTTTTCATCGTTGTCTATATAAGAGTTAATCTTAATAATTTACTCTGGCAAATCTAATAGTATTTTCCCAAGACACTGGCTGGTACTGTAGAAATTGCTTGATAGATTCAAATAAAGCAATAATGTCAAAAATACTCCTTAAAGGTTTATGTAACAGGAAAGATGCAAGAAGATATTTTCAGTGGTGTTTGGAAACTGCAGCTCTTCTTCCCTCCCTTCTTTTGCTTCTGCAGCTAAACAAAGGTTACTAAGGAAATACTTTAGGTTTGGTGTGTGGGTTTAGCTGGATTACTCTGAAGCAGTTTTAGAATTGCCAACAGCATTTCCAGGTTCCTGGATACCCCTGTGATCTGACACAAGCTGGCCAATGTTTAGGTTCCCAATCCTCACATAAGCCAGAACTGACCTACTAGTACTCCTAAGACAATCCAATATTTATTCTTTCTTTAAAACCTAACTTACTCTTTTTTTTTTTTTTTTTGTACCAGGGATATCTTGCACTTGCGAGGCAGGTGGTGGAACCACTGAGCTAAACCTGGCCTAGACCTAACTTACTCTTTACACATTTATCCAGCATTGATATATATGTACTTTGGATGTATTATCTCATTTCATCCTTGCACATACAGTTTTATGAAGGTTTAATATGCGCATTTTACAGATGCAATTTGGAAAGGACATAACCATTCAAATTCACATACTTAACAAGCAGAAAAGCAAGAATTCAAAATCAGGTACACCTGACAATGGAGCTTTGAACATTCCTTTTACTATATAAACTTGATCCTGCCAGGATGATTTTGTGTTACAACCTAACTTTGTTCAACTATCCATTTAGTATCCCCTTAATATTTAGTGTACTGGAAATAGTGTGGGTGTGGGTGTTTGTGTGTGGTTTTTATTCTTTAACTAGAATGTAAGTTCTTAAGCTTCTTTTATCTCTTCCCACTACAAGTAAGTCAAAGCTTTGCAATCATTCAGTCATCCATCAAACATTTGTCCAACATCAGCTAAATATACAGTACATCTGTGATTTAAAAGATGAAATACAGTCTGATCTCTGCTCTCCAGGAATTTGCATTCTTGTAGACAAGGCAAATGCACAGGAAACCATATGTGATGCAGAGGGAGATAATGAATATAAGATGTTTGGTTTACTTAATAAATGACCATTAAGTTCTTAATAACTGATACTCAATAAATGGTAAGGATTTTTACTTGGTAGCATTTAAGAAAGTATTAGAGGATAAACAGGAATTTGCTTTGTGAAGATGAGAGTCAGAGGAGGGTATGCTGACTGAAATGAGTGGCATAAGCAAAAACACAAAGGAGTAAGTTTCTAGTTGAGTTTAGCTGAAGGGGTCAGAACATGAAGGGCTCTGAATTACAGGGCAAACAAAATAGACTTCATACTGTGGTACACGCATTACACGATTTTTTGTTTGTTGGGGGAGGGGCTGGGGATAAAACCCAGGCAAATATTTCACCACTGAGCTACACCTGAAACTGTTAGACGGAAATCTTTAAAAAATTTCTACAGCAGCAGTGTGTAGGAAAGATTGGCCATTAAAAGACTAGTGGCAGTGAGTACCACAACTGTCCAGTTAAAAAGTGAGGAGAATTTAAACGGACTGGCAGCAGTGGGAACAGAGAGGGAGAAATAATACACCATATAGGTTCAATAGGACTTCCTTACTGGTTGGATATTGGTATATATATATATATATATATATATATATATATATCTTAAAAATTTAAAAACAAAACTCCTGATTTCCCTATCCAAGTCTATTCCATTCCTTTCTGATCTTTCATAGCTCAACAAAGATACCAACATCTATCAAGTTGGCTAAACCAGAAATTTGGGAGTTATTTGTGTTCTCTCTCTTTTGTTCATGTAAAGATCCAATCCATCAGCAATTTCCATCAATTCTACTTCCAAGTCATGCCTCATATATATCTACTTCTGTCTCTCTGCATATCTACTACCTCAGTCGGCATATTATTATCTCTCACCTGGACTTTCTGCAATATTAATCTGGTCTCTACTTTCACACTTGCTATCCTACAACCCATTCTCTTTCGGCCACCACAGTGTCTAAAAAAAGAAGGAAATGGGATCATGTTACTAAAACCTACCCCACACCACAGTGAGAGTTTTTGAGGTAGAAGAAATCATTTTTGAAGATTTCTATTTATGGAGGTTTAGAGGGGAAAAAAAGATCCTAGAAAGGAGTCAAAAGACAAATACAGGTAGTTGGCTGAGAACGAATGTGATACAGTTTCCCAGAAATCAGGGGAGGAGAGAATTTCAAGGAAGAGATAATAAAAATGTCATGTATTGCAAAAGGATTAAAAAAAAAAACACCCTTTCTCTGTTAGAAGCTCATTGGTGCCCTGGGAAGGAGGGAAAAAAGAAGGTAGGAGAGGAAGCCAGATTGTTAGGGGTTAAGAAATGAAGCCAACACAATTAAGTGTAGCTTCCTTTTTGATGAAATGTAACTATGAAAGGAAGGAGTTAATCTTCTGTCAGGCTGAGGGGACATCAGAGTCTAGTAATTTTTTTTTAGTATGAGTGAGAACTGTGTTTATAGACAGAAGGGAAGGAGTTTATGGGACTGTAGGCATTGACTGAAAGGTGAAAGCCTGACAGCCCAGCAAGGAGGATAAAAGGACTTGGCCTGGGCCTTCAGGGATAGGCAGTGGAAAACAGAGCAGGATAGACTGACCAACTGTCATCCTAAATTCTGAACTCTAATCAGATGGCATAAAAATCGGTTGTTTTACATATTCATTTACATCTAGCAACAGATAAGCAAACACTTCAATACATGAGTGCTTCTTCTGAACTGGAAGCAGTGTCTTAGTGTAGAACACAATGTGGCAAGATGATTCAATTTTGGAGAAAGATAAATTGTTGCACAGTGCTCTGGAATTGGCAGCTTGTTCCTGTCACAAATTTAACTCTCCCAGGAAGAATGGACCTTTGCTCATGATTGAGACAGAATACAAATCATACTATAGGTCTATAACTTCAATTTTCTACATGCTTAATTAATACCCATATGGTCCTTAAATTGGGAGGAAACCTATTCCCAGGGCCCTGGATTTGCAGTTGTGGAGGACTTGAGGTCAGAGGAAGTAGGTTGAATCTTGGCTCCAAAGCTTGCTCTGCTAACGACCCTGAGCAAGTTACTTGACTCACTTTCTTCAAACATTATCACCAAAGGTAATGTTGGAACCAAAAAGATGAGATTGGATTGTGTTACTTCTTTTGGTGCTCTCCCCTGCCTTCACTCACTGGCAGAAGCAGGCCAACAAGGAAAGCAAACACATTATAAGGGCACTATTCCTTTAGCTACCTTCTTTACTCATTTCACCAATCTGTCCACTGATGGTTCAATGGACTGAACTTTTTTTTCTCACTACCTTCTAATGTCTTTTCCTTGAAAAGTGTAAGTTATAATGAATGTGTATTCCAGAGTCATACTGCATAAGTTCAAATCCCAGCCCTACCACTTATTAGCAGATTGTCCTTTGGCAATTTGCTTTAACTCTCAGTGCTTCAGTTCTCTCACCTGTAAGATGTGGACACCCAGCAATATCTACCTTACATGGTGACTGTGAAGTAAGATAAGATGGCCTGTGCCAAGTACCTATATAACAATGGCTGGCTTTTGGTAAACACTGAACTATTGGTTGTTTTAAGGACCATTATGCCAAATATTCCTTAATATTTTTGGAAAGCTTCTCCTCACTGTTATCCTTATCTGCATACCACTACTGAAAGAGTACTACTAAAGGTTTGAGAATGGGTCCTTGACTTTGAGACATAGCCTTGCAAGAAATCAGACTTCTACTAGGGCTTGTTGGCACACACCTGTGATCTCAACTACTCAGGAGGCTGAGGCTGTAGTATCACACATTCAAGCTAGGCTGAGACCCTGACTCAAAATAAAATAAAAATTTAAAACGAGCTGAGAATGTAGTGCAGCAATCCCTGGGTTCAATCCCCAGTATTGAAAAAAAAAATCACACTTCTGCTGAATATAAGTTGGCCATATCATCCAAGCAGGAACACTTCCAAGAGTGACAGTATGCTGTTTTAAAAAATAGGTATAAATGTTGGCTATTTTGGATAAACCATGACCTGAGGTCCCTCAAATTAAGTAGAAAATGAAGATTAAATGTGAAAAATACTGTATCTCCACTGTATTAGTACAGATACTAGATATTCAGTGAATACAAAAAGGGATGGTAGAGGTTTGTGAATTATGGCTAAGAATGACAACTTTTACTCTACTAGTTGTATAAAATTTCTAGAGTGTTGTGGAACTTAATTAGCCAGGATGGGACTGTAGAGACACTGTTCGTCCTTGATGGATAAATCCTCTTACTATGGAAATGGCTAATAAATATTATAAACAAGATTACGTCAAATATTTATAATACTTAAGAGAAAAAACTTTTAAAATATCCACCAGTAGTCCAGAAGTACCATTTGTACACAGTGGAAATACTTCTTATTCCTTCTTCAGGACACTTTCCCCAAATACATCAATAAGCCTATTTCAGTTTAGTGAGCCTAACTTTAGTGAATATGTATTTAAACAAGAAAACTGTTTCTTTACATATATTATCTAACATGTAATGTATGGTATATGATAT